TGCGTAAGATGGAAATCTTTCTAAAATGAATTATGTAACTTCTTAATCAGAACATCTGCCATAGAATGTTCTCTTTTGATTTTTTCTTTGCTCTGTTTAGTTTTTCCAGTTACTTTTTCTGCTCAAAGCTACCAGCAGCCTCAATTCACTTCTATACCAAATCCTTCTTTTCCCTCCCAATGTGCTGCTTCTCGTGCTCTTTGTGAATGGCTCAATGAGGTCAGGGGAACTGTGCGTAAACTAAGAGTAAGTGAGAACAGAGTGAGGCCAGGGGCTCTGCTGCGAGGCTAACACAGGAGCTTCTACACCTGAACTTTGCCTTTCTTTTTTCCCAGTCAGAGGTCATTATGGCTTCTTTCTTGATGGTAAGATAACTATCTAGATTGTGGGGTAGATATCTTCGTTTTAGAGAGATCAGGTGGTACTACATGTTTTAGGTGCTCTGACCAGGTGCAGGATGTTCAGGAAGGAGGAAGAGTAAACTCACACTGTTTAGAGCAGGACCATGCCCTGAGGTCCTGGGGCCCAGCCCAGTGCCTGACAACATCAAGGTGCTCAATTACTGTTTTTGAATGAATGATGTGCTTTTCATAGTCACCTTATTGCAGATTTTGAAGTTTTTGCTTCGTATAAAGCTATTCTCTTTGTTTGGCTTTCTCTCTTTGTTCCTCTCTTTTCTGGGAAGTCTTTTTTCCCCTTTAGCTCACGTTCATTTTATCTGCAATATGTTGTATTTCATGTAGCTCTTAGGTGTAAAACAGACAGGATATTATTCCCATGAAAATATGCATTAAAAACCCTCTTTTAATTCTAGGTGAAATAAGTCAGACAAAGACAAATACCATATGATTTCACTTATATGTTGAATGCAAAAAACAAAAAAAGAAAACACCCCAAAAATAGAAACAGACTCATAGAACAGACTGATGGTTGCTAGAGGGGAAGGGTTGGGAGACTAGGTGAAAAATGTTAAGAGATTAAGAAGTACATATTGGTAGTTACAAAATAGTCACAGGGTATGCACAGTACAGCATAGTGAATATAATAAAAGACATAGTAATAACTATGTATAGTGCTAGGCTGTACTTAAATATCAGGGAGATCATTTTGCAAAAGATATGATTGTCTAACCACTATGCTATACACCGGAAACTAATACAAAATAATACTGAATGTTGACTGTAGTTGGAAAAAAAAAATAAAAAATGTAACTGAAAAAGTTAATCAGGTACAAAAATATCAAAAAATAAAAGCTACTTGTAAAACCTTCCAAAAACCCCTCTTTTAGAAACACTTTTATTTTTTTTTGAAACGTTTTTACTTTTAGAAGAGACTGCTTGTAGGTTAAAATTAAACTCTAACAAGTATAATTAAAGTGATAAAAAATGGAATGGCTCATACATTTCCGGTCCAAAATCTGTTTGGAAGGTGACTTGAAAATACAGATCAAAGACCTTAAAAATGTTCATACTCCTTCGTCCACTAATACCACTTCTAAGAATTTGTCTAAGGAAAATTATCATTTCACACGAAGATTTGTGTTAGAGTATTTACTGCGTGGAAGGTGCAACCCGTCGTGCTCTGGCCGCCTGACGGCTGCAGCGCCCCCTTCTGCTGGGAGGACTGCGGGAAGCAATTCCCCGGCTCAGCGGGAGACCTCTTTTCAGCCAATTAACAGTCTCTAAATTATGTAAGTCCGAGAAATACTACCTTTGGTCTCTTTCATTTTCTCTTCAGATTGAAGGAAAAGAAAAAGGAACAGTCTGTTTAGCTGGACAAAGGGAAAATAGGAAAAAATAGAAAAGTTTTCTATTCTCTTCTCAGCCTTTTTTTTTTTTTAGTAGCCTCTCAGACACAGAACAGACTTTTAAGTATTAAGAAGGTCTTGTTACATAATGTTTTTAATGGATATTCTTTTGCAGATGGTTTCAAAGACTGTAACACAGACATGATGGCTACTTAATGAATTACTTCAAAGATATATACAACCAGGGTTGTGGGCCATATTTTAAAATTTTGTTAACATTTTTAATTGTTTACAGTTATATTTCATCTTAAGTCAGGGTAATTTGGTTTAGACTACAACTGATCTTATTTGCATGGCTGTTATAGGTACATCCCAAGAACTTTGCTTTCAGGGAACTAATCAAATATGCACTTTCCTTTCCTCTTTTAGCAACACATTCTTTATAATTTGCATTGAATCACATGATTTTTCATTGCTTTCCTGACCAATTCTCCTATTCAAATTGTCTTCTTGCTGGTCCCCCTTCCCTCTTTCGCACTGTCATAAGCTGCAAATATGCAACTATTCGTGTGTCTAGTTCTTTAAGGCCTGTCTCTCTTCCCAGGCAGCAAGGGCAAGGTCTGCTTCATACTCTCCACCCAAAGCCCAGTTCAGAGTGGGCACTTATCAAACACTGCCCAACAAATAGATAAACAAACGAATTTGCTTTAAAACAAATGATGAGACTTCATAACAGTGTGGACATTTCTCTGCTAATGTTACCTTTAGGTCAGCAGAAGGTTTTGCGACAGTTCAAAGAGTATAAGTGATAAGTGATTAAACCTCAGACTAAATGCATGTAAATACGAGTTCGATTTGCTGTCACCTATGAATTGTATCCTTCTGAGATACAGACATTTTGTTTTGAACTTTGGAAAGGGATTAACTGCTGTTAAGAAGATACAAAAGATTTTGTTACAGTAGAAAGTCAAAACCAACCGCCACATCACCCCCAATAGCAGCAAAGAAAAAAAAAATCTTCTAAGTAAACCTTTTCAGGAACTATAGAAAATAATATTAATAAAGTGTAAGTTCAGTTAATGTATCAACACTCCATCAATAACATTTTTCTCATTGACTTCTAAAAAACAAAAACAGGATATATTCTTGAATTCTATAGGCTTTCTGTATAGTTACAGATTGATTAAATAGTTTATTTTCAAAAATGAGCTGTTCATTATATTTTTTCTTGCTTTCTAAATCTTGTCTTATTGTTTAAATGAATTAGAATGAGGGAGAAACAAATAGAACAAACCAAAGTTATGGAGAAAGTATGTGTGTGAACTTTATTTCATTATGAGAAAATCACTTCTGTGCAGTAACAGAGAATACTGATATCTACATGATAATGAGGTTTTCTTTGTATTTAGATACATACCTTATATTTGTACACAAGATATAAAATTCATGGAGGAAATTATTTTCTACAGTACAGTTTCTTTGTTGGAAGAGGACTTGTTCCATTAGTTTCTTTTAGAAAACGACCCCCAGTTCTGTGACTGTGGTACCAAGGATCGCAGTTCCAACTTTGTAATTTATTAGACACCATAATCTTATGTACAGTAAGTGAAAGCTAGAAACTACATCCTCCTGCAGGATGAAAAGAGAGACGTAAGTGCTCAGGCTGCTATGCTAATAATTGATTTTAGCAGAATAGTATGATTTCCACGTATGAATAGAAATAGTTTTCCCGTAAGTCTGATGACATATATTAGTAACATTGCTGCAGATGGTTTCCCTCCTCTGATGGCATGCACCTCGCTCCTCAATCAAATGCCCTGTACACACAGGGGAAACCAGGCCATCACCATGAAGGGCCTTCTGCATTGCATCTGAGAACCCTTGGGGGGCTTTAGCGGTTAGCATGGTACCTTGGGAAAGGAGGCAACTGTTCCCATCCCAGAGAGAAGCTGCTAAAATGATCATTCCAGGGGAGGCTCTAGCTACCACATCCCTGTAACCCAAATGGAAGCAGACCATGTGGGCATTTTCCCTTCAAGAAATCCTTCTCTTTGAATAGCATCCCTCACAGACTTACGACCACTCCCCACGCATGGTTTTCACAGCCAGGGGCCTGTCAACCTTGCTGTGGGACTGGAAGTTGTGCTTGTTTTTAACCATGTGGACAATTTTAGGGGTGACTGGCACAGGCTCAGGTTTGTGGGAAGTGGGGGAAAAAAACACACCACCATAGTTTTTTTAGCTAATGTCTTGGATTTGACCCAAATCAACACAATTAGTTCTGCAGAGGGAAGTTATGGAGAATGCCGGTGGTGTTGGGGGCAACTTCTATAATTAAAATCATACCCAGAAGTTCTGAAAATGCTTTGGCACCAACTAAAAATATCTCTTCATAGTTTTAATTTCATGTGTCACAATGGCTTTTAAAATGAAAACGTTAAAAGCCTCAGAGGTGATACCTGGCCATCATATTCAAGCCTCTCTTCTGAGATGGATGGCTTGCCTTTGATGACAATATTTACAGTATAGCCAAGAAGCAACTAGAGGCTGCCCTTTCATGGTGGCCCTAGGCAGCCTAACCAAGCCTAGAGGGGCTGGCAAAGATGCAAATAGCGAGGTAATGTGGAGTTGCTGGTCTCTTCCTGTCTGGTGCCCACAGGAAGCCTCAGTCCTGGTGCTGCTGGCCCGGGGTTTGGGTGTGAAATGGAAGCAGTCCGTGCTGGTTAAGCCAGGGGGCGCCGACAGGCCCTCTCGGAACAGCTCTAGCACCCCAAACCCATTGGAAGCACAGTCAGTCAGACAAATCCACAGCTGGAAAGAACCTCGGCCCCACCCTCAGGAACAAACAAACAAGCACTAAAAGGCAATTTAGAATCATCTGGGCAAAACTGGCACATGATGTGTATCGTGGAGGATGGGAGCCTGCCCTAGAGCCTAGATACATTGGTCTCACATACCGGGGACATTCAGACCTTCATTGTTCAGCTTCTTCAACTGCAGCTTATTTAGAGTGTTACCAAAGGAAGCCGACGGCCCAAGCCATTTGAACTGCCGCTGTGGACTCTTTGGTTTGACATATCCACATACCATGGGCTCTCTAGCGGCGGGAGAGGAACAGCGGCCTGTGCCAGAGTGCAGAGCAAGTCATGGAAACACTTCAGAGTGTGGGCACTGGTGGGGTTACCTCCGGCTCGCCAGCCACGTTAGACGCCTCGCAGCTCTCGCTCTGAGGGGTACTGCTGAAGGGCCTTACCCTCAGACGTTTGGAGGACCAGGGTCTTGCTGTACTGGCTGACGCCTGTTTTGTTGAAGGCCTTGATGCGAGCGTTGTATGTGCTGTTGAAGTGAAGACCATCCACGGTGCACATTGTCTCCTTTCCAACATACACTTCCTGAGGGTTAACAAAGAACAGGCCACCATTTAACAAGAACTGTGGTGAGGAGTTAGGGAGGTAGTGTTGCCCAGTGGTTAGGAGCAAGCGCTTTGGCATCAGCCTGATCTAGATTTGAATCCTTTGAGATATTAGGCCATTTAATTGACTGCTTTTAGTCTCAGTTTCCTCATCTGTAAAATGGGCAGAGTAATACCCACCTTATGAGGTTGGTGTGAAGATTACACAAGGTCATGTGGGGAAGTTGACTAACATAGTGCCTTGTATTTAGCATTAGCATTGCAACTTAATGAACGGGAGTTATTAGCAACTAGGATTTAAAAAATTAAAACTGGATGTTACAGGCAGCATTCTACTTATTATTAACATGGCATTTATATAGTGTGTTACACTTATGGGCTCTTTATCAGTGTGATTTGTGAAAAACAGGCTTGAAAACCTGAGGCTGGCTCTATGCTCCATTAAAGACCTTGGGAACTGTTACAAAGACTATACACTCAAAGCCATAGGACTATAGGGTTTTGTTTCATTTTTTAAGATTTTATTTATTTATTTTTAGAGAGGGGAAAGGAGGGAGAAAGAGAGGGAGAGAAACATCAATGTGTGGTTGCCTCTCACATGCCCCCTACTGGGGACCTGGTCCACAACCCAGGCATGTGTCCTGATGGGGAATCGAACCAGTGACCTTTGGTTCTCAGGCCAGTGTTCAACCCACTGAGCCACACCAACCAGGGCAGGACTATAGGTTTTCATCACAGTACAGAAGCAAGGGGGAGCAAAGAGGGAAGGGAGGAAGAATGACATTTCAAAGGCTTAAAATAAATCCTAGCATAATGCATCTTTAGCATAGGTTAGGCATTTACCTCCCTCTTTAGCTGTTCACTTTGCATGCAACATTATGCTGATGTAATGAGTAAAAATAATTCACATTCAAAGCACAGCCTTAAAATGACAACTCTCCAGTGGGACGCTAAGAAGATGGGAATCTGGGATGGCAGCATGCTAAGAATTTTATGTGGATTATCTAACTGACTCTTAACAACACGTGAGATACATGTTATTGTTATCATCCCCATTTAAAAACTGAGGATGTGAAGGCTCAGAGAGGTTAGAGACAGGCACAGTCCCACAGCGAAGGGACGGAGTTTGGACTTGAATGCAGGTACACTGACTCCAGAGCTCGCAGTGCTGCATGTACTTTTTCTTAAGAAGGATTGTTTCTATTCAGAGACTCCTTCTTCCACCTTTGATATGGTACAAGGGGAGGCAGGCCCTGCCAAGATGGCCTGTCCCCAGGAGAGGTGGTATATGTGGGCCTGAGACTCCACGGTGGGTCCTTGGAGGGGTCACCGGTTTTGGTCAACAAGGAATAGGTGCTCGGCTTACCCGGAACTGACCACCATTGCCGTCATCCAGCTCCAGAATGTATCCTTCAGCAGGCACAGTGGACAGAGGCGGCTGCTTCCAGGACAGCGTGGCGCTGTTGTTGTGGGTGCAACACTCCTCCAGCTGTAGGATGGGAGTTGCTGGGACTGGAGAGGAAGCTAAACAGAAATTAGTGTAACTCTGGCTTCTGCTGAGTTGCAAACATTTCAGTATCTTGGAATGATAAACATCCCTCTGATACACACTTGACAAAGTAGCTCTCCCCTGGGTGCTGGTCTCCAGGAATGGAGCTGCTTCCTAAGCTACTGTGTTGCCTTTTCCCAAGCCCAGGGTGGTGCTTCCCACCTTCATTAAAGGGGAGACAAGTGCTCTGTTCTCGCTCCTTTGAGCATCAAAGACATCATCCCTAAGGAAATGTTTTACACGAGGGACAGACTTCCAGTCCAGCTCAGCCCACTAAAGCTTATTTAACCCAACCATGGCTGATAAATTTATCATACCATTTATTCTGAGCCCTAAACCCCAAGTTTATAAACTTGGAATTACCTATTCTGAAAAATATCTTTGAAACCACTATATTTCTAAGATTCTCTCATTTTTTTAAAACCAGTGAGTCTACTCAAGGCCTTGTGCATATAAGTAGCTAAGATAGTATACTTTTGAAAATTTGGTATCGTTGACACAACAGTTATTTCTCAGATTTGAAACTTCTGAGGAACTTAACATCATTCTTTCAAGGTAGCTATACCTTGAAAACAGCACTAGCTCAAGTCCATTATTTCTGCAGGTATAGAACAGTCAACCTTGAGCCTACAAAGTAGTATGGGAGCAGATGAGGCCTGGCAGTGGAGGGCCAAGGCGTCCTTGTGACCGTGTGAGAACCTGTCAAGTGTCACTGGTCACAGTATAACCCTGTCTCCATTTTGTGCTGAGTCTTCTGTGTTACTGAAAACTGCAGATTAGTTGAGCCTTCAGACACACAGACAGAGAAATGTTAGGTAATGAATAATCCAAGTTCCTAATATACAAACTTAATATACATATCTGGGAACAACGTTTTTAGCAACTGCTTAATTTTTTTTTAGCACCAAAATGTGAATTTATTTTTGTAGCACTTTAGCAATAGGAGAGAACAGTTTGGATCACATCCAGGGACATTTAGGTGAACAAATGCTAATTGTAGAACACCTGGTATGCTGTACCAAAACTGGACTACAAATGTCATGCATTGAATTAAAGATCTGCTCCTTGCCAGTCACCCCAAACAAGAAGATGGTTAATTTAACAGCAGTTTAGGAAACAGGTTCTCTGGTAGATAACCTAGAAGGCAAGAGCAGAGACTATACTATGAGAGATGTGAAGGTGAAGTGGGTCAATTATACTTAAGAAAAGAATGTGATATAGTATGAGAAAACCATACCTGAGTCACTAGATCAAAAATAATCAAGTTAAAATTAGGACCAGTTATTGGAGGTGATCAGTTTAGGAAGACATCATGTTTCAAGTATCAATGATGTGGAGTTCAGGTGGAATCTTATTGGAGGACAACGGCTTCTGTAGCCTCAGAAATCCCAGGACATCTGGGACGTGGAGGATAGGAGATACAACCATTGCCTTGTTCAACAGAAAGACTACAAGGACTGGATGGAGGAAAGGCGAGACCTAACTCCCTCTGATGACTCTAATGACCATCTCTGTACATAAACAGGTATCACCTAGGAGTTGTAATTAAAGAGTTAACATTGGGTTATTATACATGTTAGGAAGCCATTTTGTCATTTAAATACGTTTCCTTATAAAAAGAATACGGTTTAATATATTAACTGTGGTGTGAATATGAAAAATTTAAGTGAACCAGTCTATGAAGGGTTTCTAATAACATGGAATAATTCTCCTTTGCTGAGAAATGCCGGGTCTGGTTTCAGGAACTGTAGCCCTGCCGACGGGTGAGAGGGCCCCCAGGCTGGAGCTAATCAAGGAGGCCTTCGGAAAATAGGCCACTGAGGAGACAAAACCTGTTTCCCTGGCAGGGACTGCCCTCACATCACTCTGCTTGGCCCTGGAGGATGGCTGGTTAGTCAATGACGGGTAAGACCCCTTGATGGAAGGGGCAACCTAAGACAGGCACAGCCACACTGGGCATCAGGGAAAAACTTAGGGGGAACACAGAAAGGGCAAAAAGACCCTCTCCCACCCCTTGGCTTTGATATGGCCAGGGTCCTCATTCTATTTGAAAGAAGTCTCCTTATCTCTTGGCGGCTCCCTCCCCGCGACTGGCTCAGGTCTGAAACAATACTGGAGACAGCCCTACACTGGATCTGGTGGTTCCTGGGGAAATGAGGCCTAGAAGTAAATTCTTTAAAGCATGCTTTGTTCTTCCTTTAAAAGCTATGGTAACCAGCTCATGCTGGGAAGGAAATTTACATTATTCACAGACCCTGACCCTAAAACCTTTGGTGCTCTCATGTTTACTTGTCTCCTCTCGGATCCCATAAATCGGTGTGTTCCTGTCATTTGTTTTCTTCAAAACATCATCTATTTTCTGTGAATATTAGCATACTGATGTAATGAGATCACCTGTACATTCCTATTACCTGGCCCCATTGATAACCCTTTTAATAAAAGCCTTTGGACAAAGGGGTTCAGGGCCTTCTCCACTAGAGGGAAGAGCCATGTCCCCTCTCCTGGCAGACAGAGAAGGGTCTGGAATGATTTATTATTTCCCCCCATCTGTGACAACCCTGGGACGGGCTCTGCGGTATCAGAGTCCAAACTTCCTCCTCAACTGGCCCAAGAACAGGGACCTGAAGAGTCCCTCTCACACTCCCTGGGGGATATTTGCTCTCAACGGCCCTTATTAGTTAGCGCTACCATAAACCCACAATTCCTAGGATTCTGCTTCATTAGCTCCCCTATTAGTCTTCATTTTCCCTTTGTCCATATTTCAGGAAGGTCTACCGTTCATCAATTTTAAAGTCAACGCATAAGATCACAGTAAGAAACCAATAAGATGGTTTCAACTTGAACCATACAAATGCTTGCAATGTCTCTGATAAGAAACTCAAATTTCCCTGTGTAGACATAGGTATAATTAAAAAATTAATTGAAATACATGGTGTCATGTATAATTAAAACATGTGAACTTCATTTATAAGTCCTCAGTGCATACACTTTAAAAGACTAAAAGGATAGAAAAAATCGAACCACTTACTAATCTTCAGATCTTAATCTTGTTCCAGGTTTAAACAAATAAGCCAACACAAAATGGAGAGAGTGAGCGCGACACTAAATGTGGGACCCTAGACACGTGCGCATGTCTAAATCTCTTTCTCAATGTACTCACAATTATTTCTTCTTTTTCATTATTTACCCCAAAGTGATGTTGCGTATAAAAGGCAAATGTGATAACATTAAGGCTGACATTTTAGAAAGACGTATTATATAGTGGGTATTATATCACCCCATTTAACTTTATTAGGTATAAAATAAATGGTCTACAAGAATCCAAAGTATTTCCAAATTAATTTACCTTTTGTGTTTTGGAAATGGATAGCATCACAGTTCCTGGGCTGAACTACAAGAAAAAAATGTTTAATTTTATTGAAACTCCTGTCACTGAAGCTGCCGTAGCTCTGTTAATCATGAACACTTTTACGGTCATTCCTAGACATCTCTGTTTTTTCCTAAAGAACTGATTTCTCCTCACTGATCAGAGCTCTAGTTCTTAGCAGTCTCTTAGCCCGTAAAATCAGGCTTCAGGCTAAAAGTCTCCTCTTAGATAGGAAGGGGCAGCTGTTCTTAACAACTTCTTGAAGGGGCCTGGTGGAGCTATGGCTCAAAATTAAATTTCGCAACAGTGTCTTTTTATACAAAAGTTTTCAAATGTTTTAATCTTTTAAAGGCCATTCTGGTTCAAATTACATCTCAGATTTTTTGTATTCATTTAATCTTCCCCCTAATCCTTCAGGTAGTGAACAGTCATGGTCTTCTAGAATTCCTGTGTGATCGGTAACAGGACATGTGAGGAAGGGAAGTTGGCCGTCCACCCTCGACATGACAAAATAATGACAGTTGATGCTTTTGGGCACTTACCGAGTGCATGACAGTGTGGTGAAGAGTCTTCTGTGTGTTCACTCATTTAGTTTTTGTAACAATCCCACAATAACAGATGCTGTTATCTCAATTTTGTAGATGAGGAAACTAAAACACGGAGAAGTTTCCTGGCTAGTCAGCGGCAGACTGGGATTTAAAGCCAAGCTTTCGTTGCATTCCCCTGCCTCTCTAGTCTGCTGTTTAGTAAGAGCGCACTCGAGGGGTGTCCCCAGAGCAACTTCCAAGGGGAATGTTTCTTTTTGGTTTCCATAGGGGAACGATAAGGCTTCCCAAGTATTGATGTTATAGATTATGAAATATTCGACTGTAGGACCTATGGTGGTTGGGAATGCAATTTTCCTGAGTCACCTCTGAAGTTTCCTTTGTGAACTGTCATTCCTGTTTATGGTTGCTGAACAATACAAATGGCACGTGAGGAAAGTTTAGACTTTAGAGGAATGGAGGAGTGATAAGCTATTTCTGGCAGTCTGTCACTAGTACACTGTTAGGGATAAACATGAACACAGGTTTTGAGGACATGCCTTTTAGGCCCCCAGACCATGAACGGATTACATGCATGAACAGATTATATTCAAGTCATTGTGTGTGCTCATTTCCATCACTGCCAAACCTCTGGGTGCACTTCCTCTATGATTTATTGGACAGCCTGTTCAGATCACACCGACCTTGCCCATGACCTTGGCGCATACTCAGAGCTCTCACATTCAATATGAGTTAATAAAGATAAATGTGTTTTAGGTGAGTAGAGGCACTTAAAGGGATTAACAACCATTGGTCTCTGTGCTTAAAAGGTGTGGTAGAGTGTAAGTCACTGTTTCATCCTGGTTCAGAAGGGACACATTGGCATTTCATCTCAGCACCATGACTAGAGAATCTTGGGATACTTTGTGTATTTAGACAATTCTGGGATAATATTTTTCCAAAAGGGGGTAGGTATCTGAAATCTATTCTGAACCAAGCAGCAGAGCCCTTGATGGCCTGGGAAAAGAATCTTAAAGTTTTCTTCCCATGACCTGGGAAAAAGTCGACAATACCAACGTGGAATTAAGGGGAAACTAAAAATAAATAAATAAATAAATAAATAAATAAATAATAAAACACAGAATATAAAGCTTAATCTGTTGTCTATTATAAAAGAAAAGCCTGAGAGTGCAAACACCACTCCCAAGAGTCTAGAAAGAGGGTAAGAGGATTTTCTAATCAAAATGCAACTGGAAAACCTATCATTGCAGTTTAGGGATGTTTGAACAAAGAAGGTACCAGCATTATCCACTTAGATTTCAATTGCTTGGGGGTGATGTGAAATCAGAAAGAACAGATTAGTAAAATCCTTAGTTAATAGCATAATTTTAGGCAGTGCATTCTTGCTGAATAGTAGCTGGCCTGAGTGGAAACATAAAAATTAACATCGTTTCTATCTTCTTCGGTATCAAGGAAAAAAAAAAAAGGCATTTGAAATGAAATTTCAAAACCTGAGAGATGCTAAAATTTTGATTCAAGAAGTAAGCAGAAATTTTAGTTTTCAGTTTGGATTATAACTTCAAGTGCATATTTTAAGTAATTTTGAAAATATTTTAACTTCCTGCTATAATCCACAATTAGAAGACAATTGGGACAGTTAGAAAATGTATTGCATGACACATACTGTTAGTTTCACCATGGTATGTAAATTTTGGTCATTTATACATGGATTTTGGGGTGCAGTTTCTTGAGATGTTTTTACTGATAAGTAAAAATGTGAAGTGGCAGTTTATTAAACTATGAATATCTTTAAAAGAGTCTAATACTACACTGATACAGTTGTCTATATGATAACAGATATCCAAGAGGCCAGAAGTCTTCACCAAGCCAATCAAGTCCCAGGGCATCACCAGCGCTGGCCGTTTCCTTCCATCACAAGCATGTGACAGATAAAAATTACTCAGATTCTACGGAGGACTGGGCTCTCAGTGAACTAATTAAACTTAATGAGCACAAAACAAAGCATATAAATTAGCTCTGCAGAGGGATACTACTCTCAGAAGTAAATTAAGATGAAGTGTTAAAAAGGAAAGAAAAAAAGGGAATAATCCCGCCTCATACCAAATGGCCTGTTTTATTGCCTTCATAAATAACTGCTCTGGATAATTTTGTGTTCCAGGTGACTTTCTGCTGTGCGTTCTGCATGACGGCCTTGAGAGCGCTTGGCCATCCTGTGCTCCGCGTGCAGGCTAGCGGACGGCACACACAGCTGCGTCCACGCTTCCTTCTGCCTGCTGCCTGACTAGCCAAGTGGCAATGCTTTAGGAATGCGGTCTGTGGTGCACAGACATGAACCTGAAGTTTCCGTACCAAAGGAAGAGCTCGTTCACTCCAGTGCAATTTTTCCCATCCTACCAAGTGGCCTGGACTCCACGGAGGGCAGACGGAAATGACTAAAACTGACAGTGAATGGGGGAGGCGCGGGCTCTGCCAGCAGATGGAAGCATTTCAAACACCCGAGGCTTTTACCCTCCATCTGCCCTCCTCTCCTGCCAAGGCAATCACCAAGGCTAATTGGGTTGGCTCGTTTTTCTTTTTTTCTCTTCCACCAATAGCCCTTACGTTGCCCTTTGGTGACATATTTTCTCTTTTGAGCTGTTGGGGACATAACCTTTCAATGATTTCATCTCACTGAAAGAACTGGGTACAGAGAGATGCCGAGGGAAGGGAGTTTACCTGGCGCTCTACGCACTACTCAGATGGCTGCCTTTCACAGGCTACAGTGTAGGTAGGTCTTAGAGAATGAAATTTAAACAAGAAAGAAATGCTGCAACAAATAATTAAACTTCTTAAATTTAAGAGAGGAATTCAGTTATTCCTTGCCGAAGCCGCTTGGTAAGGCACTAACTGTACAGCACCAACGGGCAGTGGTAGGCGTGGGCCCCAGAGCCGTGCTCCCTGGGTTTGAATCCGGGGCCCCGCACTCACTAGCTGTGTGAGCTCAGGCAAGTAACTCAGGCTTCCTGTGCCTCAGTTTCCTCAGCTGCCAACTAGGACTGTGAGAATAAAAAGAGTTAATCCATGTGAAGGGTTTAGGAGAGTGCCCGATTTGGGAAGCGGTCAATAAATGCTAAACATTTTTGTTAGTGCAGCAAAGTATTTTTGTTTATAATCTATACATGACTTACTTCAAATATGAATGAAGGCCTCATTCCAAAGCAAAACATACTAAACAAAAAAATGAGAAAACTGAAGACAAAAGGGGGCAAAGATCCATTAAAATGGTGAGAGAAGTACAGGTACCAGACACAGGGTGAGTCTAAGGGTGTGATGGAGGCCATCGGCAGACAGCCTAGAACTTGCTGGGCTGTATGGTTCTGCCTCTCTGATAAAGGAAGCATGTAGATTTTCCCTACGAAACAAAAATTTTGAAGCACTTACTTCTAAGCTATTTATTATGTGGATGCTTAAATTGGAGGAGTAAAGAGCAAATCAGTTTCTTAAAAAACATCAGAAAACGACTGAGTTCTAGAGATGGAGAACAGATCGGTGGTTGCCAGGGACTGGGGATGGCGGAGGGGCAGGGCGTGGGTGTGACCCCACGGGCTGGCCTGAGGGAGCGCTTCGTGGTGATGCAGTCGTTCTGTGCCTCGGCTGCGGTGGTGGTTACACACCTGACAAAATGGCACAGAACTAGACACACACGAGGTGCCAGTGTCACTTCCTGGTGTTGACATCGTATGATAGTTATGCAAGGTATAACCGTCGCTAGACACTGGACGAAGTGTACATGGGACCTCTCCTTACTATTGTTGCAACTCCCTGTGAATGTATCATTATTTCAATATGAAAAGTAAAAAAAACCTATCAGATATATTTTTCAAATGCATATTACTTGCACTGCCATTAAAATATTGCGTGATTGGCTTGAGTTTTTATTTTGATTGGCAAGAGTTAATTTCTTTAAGATAATTTTAAATATTTTTACTTTTCCTCAGCCACCCCAAAATCTCAGAGATCTTGACATATTCTTTAATCACATAAATAAAAAAGTTAAAGTTTATTTTTCATTTTCCTTTTCTCTCAGTAGCTAGACTCGAATTTTCCTGACCAGTATTGGCAAGCCCCTGATCCTCTCCAATTCTCACTAATCCACGTTCATCTGTTTGCTCACTACGTCTATCCATGTGAAAGCAGTCATTTCAATTCTGAAGTCCCTTGATTTTTATCAATATTTCTGGGTTACTTTCTGTAACACAATTATATTTATGTACAGTGATGCTCGCTCTCTCTTCCTATCTCATTTTTTGTCAGCTATTCTCTAATGCTGAGCCTCTGAAATCTCTGAAGATTCTCAAAGTGATAAGCACTGAGTTTATATGAATTTATCTGACTTTCTGAGAGGTGGATTACACAGCTACATTGTACGGTAAGACGGGAGCCACCTCTCAGGTGACTGATAAATCTAATATCTGCCTTTTGTTTGCCTATACCCTGCTTCAAGCACCAGTCTTCACTGCGCTGGTGCTCTGGCTGGCGGTGGGGGGAACCCAGGCACCCACCTTTCATCTGCACGAAGTCCAGCTGGTGAATGGACTGCAGCAGAGGGCTGTTGTCCAGACTCAGGTCGAAGTCCGTGGTCATCCTGGGAGTGAGCGTGCCTTTCCCCCACTGGTCCTCAGTCAGGTGCACTCTCCTTATGAGGGCGTCAGAAATCTAATCACATCAAAGACCACAGCCTAAGAAATACACCACCACATTGGACACAGAACTCTGCTCCTCAACTCTCTTAGGGTGTTACTGCCACCTTCCTTGGGGCTTACGCCATCTTGTCTCTGTGCAGGTGGGAGGAGACTGTTAGGATGAGGGTGGCCCAATCTGGACACTTTTGTAAGTCAGAGGCAGTGACATAAATAATTAACAACTGTTAATTGCTCTAATAGACAAACCTGGATATATGATCATGCTATTTATGACTGATCGACTAAAACCCAATAGTTTATACAGAGGCAGCATATGGTAATCTGTATAATGGAATTTCTTCCACTTTAAGACATCCTCTTCCTGTATCACTCAGTTCTTTGGCAGAGAACCCTTTCATTTCTTACATTTGGTCTCTGCCACTCTCGGCCAGCTTGGTAGAAAGTGAGTTGCAAGGGATCTACATATTCCTTAATAAAAGGTCCCTTAATCATTGGGATTGAAACAAGTTAAATTCAGCTGACATCACAGCATCTCACTAAAACAGTGAACACTGAAGAAGCTGTGAGACATCCAAAGAATGAAAAACTTCGCCTTCTTTGTGAAAGCACTGATTTACCGGCAGAAGGAGGTGTCCAGGAGACAGAAACGTGGCATACTTAGACGTTTCTAGCCCACAAAATTGTCCAGGAAAAGGACACAATTCTTAGGCAATAACTCTGCTTTGGTGAAACTTATATGGAATTACGTTTTCATGTTAAACAAAAACAGAAACAAACACACAAAAAAGCCCACGCACTTCTCAATCTTGTAGCACGAGCGGAAGAGACTCCCAGGACGTCAGGGCAGTTTTGCAGGCACCGCGCACACTCAGCAGTGTGAAGGTAGGTTCTGTTACGGAGGGACCCACGTCTAGCCAGAGCACTGGGAGTCTGGCCTTGGTGGACTCAGTCTCCTGGGAGACTGAGAATCTGAAGCGGAAACTAACTGTACTGACCTGCAGAAAGCCGCTGGGATCGTTTTCCTTAATCACCTCCAGGCAGTACTCCATGAGGCCCGTGGTCTGGCGCAGTTTCACTGTGCAGTGAGAGATCTGATCTCGAACCACCTGGGAGTGATGACAGAACAGAATGGTCCAAGATGGCAGAGAGCAGACAAGATGCAAACTGGGACCTTGGAAAGCTTCTCTAAACCGGAACCCAAGAGCACCATGGAATGACACTAAATTTATGAGACTACTTTGCGGTGACGTCTGCAGTGGACAATGGCCCCAAAGGACAGGTTGGATAATGGCTCTAACGGGAACTTGCAGTAACAGGCCCCGTCAGAAGGGCTTGCAGAATGAAATCATCTGGTTACCTCGGCGCCTCAAGGGACACCTTCCACAGGTCCCCCTTGCTCCCTCTTCTGGGAAGCTGACAACCCTGAGCTGCTGTACGTGGGGGGGTCATGGTCGGCCTGTAAAGGAGCTGAGCAACCTGAGGTTAGGCTGCAGCTTCTGCCCTCCCGCACAGTAGCCCCCCTCCTCCCACCCACTGCCTGCCCCTTCCAAACAGCAGGCAGCAACATCGGAACCCAGTGCCTTTCTTGTTCTGATTTTCTTTCTTCAGGTGGGCGTTGAGGTGGGACTAGAGGTGGAACTTGCTGAAAGACAATGAGCAATGACAACTGAGCGAGAGAAAAGATGAATGCAGAATTAAGTTTTAAGAATAACCCACTTAGAAACAACTCATTTTGGAAAGCAGTTTTAGAGGCTGCTCTATTTGCCAAACTGTGAGTCAGCTTTAACCCAGAAAGGCAGTTTCTGCCTCTGGGAAGTTGCCTTTGCCCAGTGTCAAATGCACAACAGTCTCTGAAAAGTTTCTTTCTTTAGAAATGCTCATCTTCTGTGTCCTCTGCTCAGTGACCCAAATCCTGAAGTGGTTTCTGAAGCACAGAATTGAGTAATAGTTTTCTAGGAATCTCAATCACTCACAACCTAGGTATTTTATGCTATTTTGCAAAAGTCCCCAAAACATCTGGCATTACAGATTTTATAGCTAATAACTAAAAGGAGTTTTTAATAATAATTCTTTAACAGCTTTTAATGATCTTTAACAACTTTTCCTTGTTCCTTTTTTTTCATTTTTTATTATTAATTTATTTTCCTTTAAAGATTATTATATACTTTCCAAAACATTTGGAAAATAGATGGGGGAAAATGGCAAATTATCTCACTTGTCTGATGTAAATTTTTAAAGCATTTGATATTTCCTTTTAGTTTTTTGCCTTGATTTATTTATAGTTGCACAGAGCATGTGACAATTTTACCCCCTTCCCACTTATCACTCTATCATAACACATTTTTCACATTGCAATCAATAAATGATTGGCTACGTAAATATCCCATTGAGTGGGCTATCATAATATATTTAACCATTTCTGTTCCCCTATTTTTGGACATTTAACTTCTTCCTATTTTTTTGGACCATTCATTCATTATTACTACTCTTTATTTATAATTTTTTTATTGTGATAGAATACACATAACATAAAACTTGCCATTTTAACTATTTTTATTTGGACCATTCTATGGTAGTAAATACATGCATACTGTTGTGCAACCATCACCACCATCCATCTCCAGAACTTTTTCATCTTCTCAAAAGGAAACATTGTATCCATTAAGCAACTCTCTATTCTCTTCTCCCTTCAGTCCCAGGCAAATATCATTCTATTTTTTGACTCTGGATTTGACTGCTCTGGGACCCTCATGTAAGTGGAATCATATACTATTTATCCTTTTGTGACTGGCTTATTTCACTTAGCAAATGTCTTCAAGGTTTATTCATGATGTAACTTGTATCAAAATTTCCTTCTTTTTAAGACTGACTAATATTCCATTGAAAATATATACCATGTTTTGTTTATCCATTCATCTACTGATGGACTCTTGGGTTGCTTCTACCTTTTGGGTATCATGAATAAAGCTGTTATGAACATGGGTGTACACATATCTGTTCAAGTCCTCATTTCACTTATTTTGGGTATATACCCTGAAGTAGGATAGCTGGATCATATGGTAATTCTTTTTAAATTTTTTGAGAAATCATCATACTGTTTTCCACAGTAGCTACATCATTCTACATTGCCACTGGCAATGCACAAGAGTTCCAATTTCTCCACATCCTCACCAACACTGATTATTTTCTGTTTCTTTTTAAAAAAATAACAGACACTCTAATGGGGGTTCAGTGCTATCTTATTGTGGTTTGAATTTGCATTTCCCTAATGACAAGTGATGCTGAGCATCTTTTCATGTGCTATTGGCCATTTGTATATTTCCTTTGAAGAAATGGATATTCAAGTCCTTTGCCTATTTTTAAGTTGGGTTATTTTTCTGCTGTCTTCTGATGCACAAAAATGTATACATTTTCATGAAGTTCAATTTGTTTACTTTTTCTTTTGTTGTGCCTTTCGTGTCATATCCAATACATTATTTTCAAAGCCAGTGTTGTGAAGTGTTCGCCCTAGTGTTTCATTCATTTTGAGTTAATTTTTATATATGGTGTTAGGTTTATCTTCACTCTTTTGCATGTGGAGAGCCAGTTTTCCCAGCATCATTTGTGGAAAAAAATGCCCTTTCCCCACTGAATGGTCTTGGAACCCTTGTCAAAAGTAATTTGACTCTATATGTGGGCGTTTATTTCTGGGCTCTCTATTCAATTTCAGTGGCCTGTGTGTCTGGCTTTTTGCCAGTACTATACTGTTTTGATTATGGCAGCTTTGTAGTAAGTTTTGTAATCCAGAAGTAAGAGAACCCCAATTTTGTTCTTTTTCAAGACTGTTTTGGCTATTTGGAGTCTCCTAATTTTTTGAAAGATGTATTGCTATTGCGTTTAAACTTTCAATATAATTAAAATAAAAAGTGAAAGTGAGATTTAAAAATCTCTTTATTGGAATTAATGAAAGAAACCAACTTTGATATGACAATTATTTGATTTTTGATTTTGGTGGGGAGGGTGGAGGAAATAAAATTTAAGATTGATTTATTTTCTTCTGGCATCTAGTATGTTTCTGTCAAACCACTACCACCATCTGTCAGTCTGTGATGAAGGAACACAAATTCTTTTATTTTTTTAATCAGAACAGAAACAGGAAAGTTAAGTTTCTGCTTCTTGGGCAAAACATTACAAATGCAAAGACAAGTGTCCTATATTTAATATGCTGCTCTTCTCTGCTTTACAAGGCTTACCTAAATTGTCCCCATAAGATGTTTCTATATTTTGGTAGTCAGTGCATCAACACCACCAGATAGCAGAAACCTCAACAGTCATTATTGACTACCCAGATGGCATCTGCCAAGAATATGCCTGGTACTAAAAGTACAAATAACAAGCACGAGCCTGATCTGAGCACAGTAACCCAAAGCGAGTCTGCTTTGGAGGCGAAATAGACTAAATTGTTTTATTTACTTTCCAGAGCATTCAGCTCAATGTAATTTTATAAACTAAATGTGCTGAAATAAATACAACACACGGACCTCATGAAATTCTATGTCTGCTTTTATAAATTTCCTTCTCAAACAAAGTTTATCTGGTGCCAAAGGAGCTGAGTGTTGGGACTCCTTGGCTACCCTTAAGAAGTTTCATTGTTGTTCTGCCAAAGGCTGGGTGTCAGCGGGGGTTTGCTGTGGCTCCTGTATGCCTTGGTTCAAAAGTCTTGGGCAGGCTCCGTATCCCTGCGTTCCTGGCTCTCAGTTCCCACCATTACAACAATAGATTGTGGTCTATCTTTACATTTTAAACCAACCATTTTACAATACTTACCATAGCCTGTGATAAAATCATTGCTACAAAGGAAGCTACAGTGTTCCCAGAGGGAGCATTTTTCAGTGCATTGTAATTGACTTCTAGTTCCTGATTTAACTTAGAAAGATTTCCCATCTTATGGAAATCAGCTAGAGAATTAGAACTTTAAAGAGTATATTTTTTTTAAAGAGTGTATTTTTTTCTTTGTGTCTTTATCAGCCCTCTTACTTGCTACCTTCTTCACTGTTATTTCTACCCCTTTTATCATTATCATTGTAATTTCTATGAAAAACAACTCATAGCAAGCCAGGCCGTGTCTCTTTTTCTCCGAGGTTCACGTTTCTGTGCTGTAGCTCTGATGCTCCAGAGAAACCCCTGGCACCACATCACAGCTGGTTGGACTCCAGAGCTCCTTTCCGGAGGAAATGTGCGAGTTGAAGGAATGGCACAAGCAGGGACTGGGAGCACAGCTTCCTGCTTTCATCTGCATTAAAGCCTAAGCCAGCTCTCCAGGGATAACAAATTAATCTGTGGCCCATAGTTTCAGGGAAGGCTCTCACCGTTTTTATCAGCAGTCATCATCTGTTCTGGATGGCGAGTGCCTAGTAATCATTTGAATGGCTTTATTTTGTTAAGTGGCAAATTGATAAAGGTCGTTTCTTGAGTCGGGATATGACACCAACACCTATTAGGAAACGGAGAATCTGAGAATGGGCTGTGGTGTCCCTTGGAACGCTCAGACTTTCTCAGCAGCAGGGAGCAGCAACACAAGATCGTTTCTACGATACGAATACAAATTTTTTTCTCATTCCATCTCGAACAAGTCCATGTCTTCTCGCCATTCATCTCATGTGACATATCCAGCAGTAAGAACTGAGGTTAAATAAGGGAAATTTTATTATTTTGTCTGATTTTTTTTTACCTTGACACCCTTCCTTGACCTCCATTTATCTCTTCACCTTACAGATGGCTCTTTAAATTTTTCTTTATTTCTTCTATTTAATAAATACTTTTTATCATAGCATTCTCTCTCGTCATAGCATCTGGAGGGATACCACTAATGAATTTTTAGTCTAAGTAAACACGAATGTTCTCTTTTTCCTATTTCAAGGAAGCCTTTTAAAGGTGTCCAACCTGCGGCCCGTGGGCTGCATGCAGCCCAGGATGGCTGTGAACGCAGCCCAACACAAAATCATAGATTTACTTAAAACATTATGAGGTATTTTGGTGATTATGTGTTGCAATGTATTTAATGCATGGCCCAAGACCACTCTTCTTCTTCCAATGTGGCCCAGACATGCCAAAAGTTACCCTCTGC